GAAGCTTCTAGGGGCTCCTGGCATCGCTACTAGGAGCAAGAAGCTACTAGGGGCTCCTGGCCTTCCTACTAGGAGCATGGCACCGCTACTAGGAGCAAGAAGCTACCAGGGGCTCCTGGCCTTGCTACTAGGAGCAAGAAGCTTCTAGGGGGAGGGCATCGCTACTAGGAGCAAGAAGCTACTAGGGGCTCCTGGCATCGCTACTAGGAGCAAGAAGCTACTAGGGGCCTGGCCTTGCTACTAGGGGCTTCATTTTCATCCCATGAGACGAAACGCATTTGCACTCACATGTTCATCCCATGGCCATCGGCCTCATTGAAAAACCGCGAGGCCTCCATCGAGGGCCGCCTTGGCTTCCATCCGCCGCCGCGCGCCAACTCGGTCTCCCTGGGACAGGCGAGGGGGGACTGTTTCGGTGTGGGCACACGTGCCAAAGTGACGTTCAACTGCTGGAAACAATAGCAATGGCCTCCACCCTAGCAGCAAAAGAAACCTAATGGCGATGGCCTCCACCGATGGGGGGTCCGGTTCGTTCGTTCATGGTAGATACATGCCCCTCACACACCTACACATATGAACACTAGGACTAGAGCTTGGTCAGCTCTGCCGCAGGTTTAGAGGTTCAGGATGGTTCAGGTCTATACATCGGACACACCGTTGAGCTTAGACTGCACAACATCGTCATCGTGACGCCCTGCTGGGCTCTTTTCCTCATCTGTGGGCTTGAGTGTAAAGAATGGTGTACCCCATATATTGCCAAATCAGCCCAGTGAATCTGGACATTCACACAGTCCTTGTCAGCTTTGGTCAGGTCTGCACCACGATGTGTATGGCACCAAGTCGTGCCGCATGCCTACCCCAAACTTCTTTTTGTGGACTGAACCAAGGAGGGCACGCCCAAGAAGCGTTGACATGTCTTGGGCGGAAAGATCTGCTCCTCAGTTGCAGGTGGTGCGCTGCCGAGCGGAGGCCCGGCTGCACAGCGTGGAAAGGAAAAATTGATCTCAACAGCCTTAAATGGCCTGACTGCTCATTTGAAGAAACTGTTCAACCACCTTCCGATGTTGAAGCGGAGACTGCACTGTTTCGTTTTGGGCCCATAGACTCTTAAACTGGGAATGAACTTTCGCACATCCACAGTTTGAGAGAGCAGAGAGTGTTTGCGGTGGATGTGGCAGACATAGAAAGCGTAGAACTATACACATCATAGAGGAAGATGACCCTCCCCTCAGGTTCTTGTAGCAAGAATAGTCGGAGGGTCTACATGTCCTCACACCATTGATGTCTACAACGCCGCAACCTTCCTGTGGATCCTCCACACCTTGACCGCGGACAGGAGACAACGCCGGATCCAGCGTCCCATGCGCGCCGTGCCTCTGATGCCCAGACGTGAGGGCCTGTTAAGCCCAGGGGCTGCCTCTTGGGAGGTCAAATCCACCCTGCCACGGGGCACGAGTTTCGGATGTCAGCTTTTCCGGTTTTGTGGTTCGGCCAGAATGTTGCGGGCTTCTCTGCAAGGGGAAGTCGTTCGTTCAGGGTTCTAACCGATGGCTGATTTTCAAGGGCATCTTTGTTGGCCAGCCTCAGACCAGCTGTACAGCCGCGCTAGAAGAGAGGGACGCCCCAGGACCCCTCTCTAGTCTCTTCCATGCCCAGTTGGAGGCTGGGAATTCGTGTCATTGCATTTTTCCTCCATGTGTGAGGGAAAAGGCCATACTAGGGAGTCCATGCACCTCCGAAGTAGGTGGCAGAAGGCAAAAAAACTCGACTTCTTTTGGGACTTGGTTTGGAGTCCTTTCATTTGGTTTTGCAGGACCATGCCATAGGACCTCAGAACAGAGATCTTTGGAGGTGAGAGAGCTCGCCAAGGACAAAGAATACGACGTATGGCACGACGTATGGCAATCCCTCAAAATGTTCCTTGTTTATCCTTGTTTCATGACCCATCCATGGGGGTTTTGGACCTTTTGAGAGCTCAAAGACATATCCACTGCTCCGGTGTTGACAGCATCAAGCAGATCAAGCAGACCCGTGGGCACCGACCAGGGGCATGAATCTTTACAGCATAGCAGATTCCAACGTATCGTCCTTTGGTTCCTTCGGGACAAGATGCCTCCAAGGGGGCTTTCGGTTAGAATTGAGTTAATGCTGACTCAGTTCAATAGACATGGGCACCCCGAGAAGCCACTGTGTACTTGTAGAGGAGCAGCGATCAGAACAAAGATCTCCGGCGAGGCAATTCAGGTGTATAGCATGTTTTGCGTGGTGGAAAAGAGATGAACGGAGCGAGTCCAAACAAACCAAGAAGGGTATCTGTCAGCGAGTTGATGAATTTATCGGCTTCTATCTGCGCTGCGTTGTCAGTGACAGTGAGATCGGCAAAGACTTGGACAATCCACTTTATGTTTCAGTCTGCTTGCGTACACTTCTGCAATCAAAAGTAAAACACGTTCTCAGAAGGCCTTGGTTTCAGAACTGTTCCCCAGCACCCTGTGACCATGCAATCCCAAGGCTCAATGTGTCAAGACGAAGAGCAAGGCGGTGTGTTTACCGGGAGTCCCCGTGGTCAGATCCACTCACAGACTGGATCCCAGTGTTTCCAAAGTCACAAGACCCTGCTTGCATCGACCCTCCAAACCACATAATGCAAGCAGATGGTGTATATACTGTAGTATTATATATATATATGGTCTAATATAGTATCATGGGGGCGGATGAAATGGTGGACAACCCTAAATAGGTCTTTTGACTGATCAACCATTTAGTCTTTCACACACCGATCAGGTCATGCAAGTGTTTCTAATGCCGTCTGCAAAGGGATCCACTGTTCGCGAGTCACGTACCAGATCATTGCACTCCACTCGCCGTTTCCATTGAGCTGAAGTGGACACTGATGGCCAAAAGCCGCATTACATGGGAATCCCTGGGCCTTGACATGGCATGCCAAGAACCCCCTCGGGAAGTCTGGTCAATTTTTGGTGCGGTTTGTGAAGACTCAAAGTTGTCAACACTCCCAAGTTGCAGTCCTCAGACGACTCAAGGGCAACTGCAAACTTTGGTTGTTGACCGAACTTTGGAGTAGACATCACAACTCAACTAGCTGCCCTCATTGTGTCGGTCAAGAGTTCAGTCCCCAGGCGCATCCCATGCCCCAGGGCTGGGATGGGCCTGTCCTGCATGCCCCGACAGGGCTGGGCCATGCGCCTCAACGTAGCCGACCACATGTCTCGATGTTCGGAGTTCTGACCACATGCTCGGCGGATCTTCGAACATGCTCGGCGGCCGGAGGTTGAGTGGTACACGGTTAGCATGGGAAGGTACTTGGAGGGTTTTCAGGACAGATCACCCCCTTGTGTTTTCATTTTTTCAGTCTGAGATGTCTCAGGACTCTTTGAAGGATGCTGGCTATGACCAAGTGGTCGAAGTCAATGAGGCGATTCTTTCTGCAGCCTACGTACTACTTCCCTACTTCGCATGTATGGTGTTTCCTTCCACAGCTGAGTCTTAGCAAGGGGAACGCTGCCATTTGCACTTGGGAGTTATATGATGTCCTCATGTGTTTGACTTCCTGGGGATAAATCAATAGAAACCGGAGGGCAGTCTTTTGGAGGCCATTGCCTTGTTCCCAAGACAGCATGACAGCATGTTCTTCTTTTGTGGACGTTTGTCAAAGTTTGACGCATTGAATCATATTGAATCTATCGTCAGGACCAGGATGCAAAGGTTATGACTGTTATGATTGCTTCTGACTTGAAGTTACCGGAGATGGGTTTTGGGTTCGTTGGACCGTCAACAGCGATTTAATCTTTTTGGTCACTGCATTGCTGGGGGGCGTTGGACTCGCTGAATCAGCCCCTTTTGGACTCAAAGATCCTGCAGGTGGACTTGCACCTAGGGCCTAGGGACCTATCTCAGTTGCGGAGCAACCCGAGTTGGGCACAGTGCATCAAATCGTTGTCAAGGAACACCCATTGCAAAAAGGAAGCATCAAGAATCAAGTTGAACACATGCTAGGGTCAGCCTCCAATGTAGAGAGGCTTTTCTGGCTGTCAGAGCACCTGGCCTGCTCACGATCCTTTCGTCACAATTCGACAGGTCTTGGCCCGGCGAGGCAACCGGGCGCTCGTCACGGGCCGTTATACCAGCAGCAGGCAAGACGGGGGTGGCCGAGCCATGCGAGTGGCAAAACTCCACAAAGGACAGGTGTTACATCGTTACATGATTTCACACAACCTTTTGCATGACCTCTATATGATTTGCAAACAGAGAAGCCATCGTCCCGCACCTATTGTGGCGATTGGGAGAGCGAACATGACCGAGACAACCTTGGGGATACCTCGTGGCTGTCAGGCACTCAAAGATATGGGGTGCCACCTATGGACCATGGAGGTTCTTGTCTGAACCCCACTTCTACATCTCGAAATCTTATTTCAGCAGATGCTTCGACTGTGTTTGTGCGTCTTAAGACGAGGGAGCTGTCTCAGACATGCTTTAGTCTCACACTGTTGGTCGTATTAGATCCAAGACTCGTTGGTGTCATTGGGTTTTAGTTTTATCGACTTCCATGAATGAAGTCTGAACTTTAGGGTCTCCACCATGTTTTTGACGCCAGAGGCACCTGGAGCACGATTATCATTTCGATGGTCACACGGCAGAACAGAGCGCTGGGGAGGATGGGACACCGTGAGATTTTCATGGAAACAAACAGGCGGGAACTGGCATCACGGATGGTTTGACACTTGTGTTCTGCTTGCTCATCCATAGTTGTAAGTGGTGAGTGGGCTTCCAGATGTTAAAGATCAATGACCAACACCGAGAGAGCTACGGCGACAAAGCCAAGGCTGGATCCGCTAGAGGATCTGCTTCCAAACCTTTCTGCGCATCGGGGTCCGCAGGAGTTCATGGGTTTGTCCGGGAGGGCCCCAAGTTTTCCGGAGGTCTTCGGTCTTCATGGTCTCTTTTCTCTACATCCATCTTCGACCTACATGTTCTTCAGATTTTGATCCCGGAACCCATCCTCAGATTCGTGGGATTTGACCAAGGACCTGAGACAAAACGAAGTTTCAGATTCCATTTTTTACAGAGACACTTACTAGACATCATATCCGACTGCATTGCTGTTGCCTAGCTGCAGCATGTGTGTGGTGCATACCAAAGAAACTGCCGCAGAGCAACTTTCAAAGCACAGCTGCACAGTGGCTGCTTTTGCTCGTCTAAGTCTCAGAGCTGTCTGAGTGATTGTTTTTTGTTCTTTTTGTTCCCTAAATATATAACTCTTGGGGAAACTACAGAAACATTCCATCCAATCCAGTGTTCTATCACAGCCCTCTCAGGCAAGGTCATCGGAAGTGGCCTTAGTGGCCCCGTGCGGCTGGCCACTGGCAAGGCGCGTTGAAAGTTCTGTGTCGCAGGCGGATCCAGGATTTTGACACCCACCCATGTGGCATAACCTCAAGTTATGTCAGTTTGTAGAGTCATAAATCTTTGGCAACTTTTGCTTCATGAATCTTTCAGTGCGTTTAATTACGGTGGAGAACCGGGAGTTTGCTCCGACTGGGAGTTTGGTTTGCCTTGTTCGGTGTCCCGGCAGGCCGATGGCTGCAAATATGCCATCAAGAGCTTTAAGCAGGGGGCCTTGTTTGGGACCTGACATGAAGATCGCTGACCTTGGAATCCAGATGTGCTTGCCTAATTGAGGCCAGAGTCCAAACCGCAAATCAATCATGTTTGTACGGAGTCTACTACTTTCCCTGCAGTTCAGAGTCAGAGCATGGGCACAAGTCAGCTTTTGGAGAAGAAATGATAGTGTTTGGAGAAAACCACTGCCCAGGAACTCTGATGTACATCTTTTTGCACATAGCTTCTCAAGTGAGCTTGAGCAGATGGAGTGAGGGGATATTTTTCAGGCTGCTCAATGGAGAACCATATAAACCTTGCACAGACATGCTTAGAATCATTAAGAGTTCTTTTCATCCTCCACAACACTTCAGCGCAGATTTCCGCACTCCGTGTTTGGCACCGCGGAATGTCAGGAAGAAGGGCATGTCCTCTCGGAAGCGGGCTGAGCTCAAGAGCGAGGTGAGGGGCCCGTCCGGGACACGTTCCGGAGGGTTTCGGGGGCCGAAAGTTCGGCCCAAGCTGCGAAGATTGACTTGGAGCTGGATGGAACTGGAATCAAGCAGAATAAACATGATTAAAACCCTTGAGATCCTAATCTTTTGGAGCCGTATGTACTTCTTACTTGTTTTCTTGTCCACTGCAGGATTGATCATTCTTTTGAATCAACCGTTGGGCCACCGTTTGACCGTTTACGCTTGGGGACTCTTCATCCCCCATGAATACATGGGCCACATATGGTCAAATGACTGATCACGACGAGTCATGATCCTAGCAACTGGTTTAGAGTTCCAACCACCATGGAGCAACAGCCAGAGCAAGAAGTCTCCGACACCGTCGTCTTGAATTCATTTTGCTCGACAGGCGGAGGTCTACCTTACCTTGGATCATCCGCACGTGGCCAAGTGGCGACCCCAGCTCCCGCGGTCCAGAATATTGGTTCGGTGACGGGTACGACAGTAGACGGGAACATCGGTAAGTCAGTAAGTCTTAATCACCTCATACTGGTATTGTGTCAGTGATCTATAAAAGGAGTATTGATGAATAAATTGATGGTAAAATCCAACAATCGGTTTTGGGTGACTTTTTACAGCAATGCATCATTGAATTCAGTATGATTTCAGGATGCTTTTTGTGTGATTTGCATGGTAACTTCTTGCTCACCCACTCAAGGGTAATGCGAGAGGAGTGAAGAGCAGGTTCTTTGTAAGAGAATCCAAGTTTCGACTTCGGTAAGCAGCATAAGCAAGAGCAGAGGTATGGACAACGGAAGAATGCTTAGCTTTTTGTAAATTTTCTGTTTCATCGCAAGGCTAAACTCGCCTGATTCCTGCATGTTATACTAACGCAAGGTTCTGTTTGTTTCTCTTTGTCGTTTGCTGTCCGAGATGTTTAGTTTTGCTGCAATAAGGAAAGAAACCTAACTGCCCATGACAGAAGGCAGTTCTTTGAGCAAGGACAACTTCAAGGTGCTAGTTGGAAGAACAAACTAGTTTGATAATTGAATATAATTGATGTGTTCTTTCTTTTATGTTTTCGTGACCCTTTTCGAACCACAGATCCTCTCGATTGACACCTGTGGGTTCGATGGTTGTGGATCAACCTAGGCTGGAGATGATCTACGAGACGGACGAGGAGACGAGCTGCTGCGCGTCCGACTTCAGGGGACAGGGCTGAAGGGAAACAACATGCAGGATAATTAACAAATTGGCTTCTTATTACTAGTAGCAAGAATGCTCCTAGTAGCGATGCCAGGAGCCCCTAGTAGCGTCCTTGCTCCTAGTAGTAAGGCCAGGAGCCCAGGTAGAAGTTGATTTCAGGATATAGGCTACATGGACAAATTCCGATCGACATCTTCAAAAGAAAAATCATCGGTTTGTTTGACAGTCCCTGATTCAACGGACCGCGGTCCTGATCTTTGTGTCAAGGCCTCCAGGACCGCAGCAGAGTGAACGCCGAGTTTCTCGCGTCCTTTTGGGACTTGAGAAGTGTTCTGGGTAACATTTGTTTTTTTAGCACACCAAACAATTGTAGAACAGCAATAGAAGTGGGACTATTCCCATTACTCCTACTCAATGTTTTTAGAACTCCCTGAACAACAAGAGCTTTGTTTTTGGGAGTAGTGGACTTCCTTGATCATCATCTTGCAGGAGATGCACTTTGTGATGGAGTACATGTCTGGCGGGGAGCTCTACAAGCGGCTCTCCAACCGCAAGCGCTACTCCGAGGAGCGGGTTTCGCAGGTCGCGGTGGCTGCCAAGGACGTGGTCCATTGGTTTTGGATTCCGAACGTTGAACCCCCCTAGAACAAACGTTTTGGTGGACAGGACATGAATCCCATGGTTTTCTGTTTTGATCCACTATGCTTTGGCACTTGTTGCATGCCAAAGCCGAACATGTACCAGGCCTGTGGGTTCTTTACCCACCTTGAAAATGAATTGGAATGGCGTCTTTGCCCTTGCCAGGAGGCTGCAGCCCTCTGCATTCGCCAGGTGAGGGATCGGCAGTGACGTGACCGCAAGGCTTCAGCCGTTTTTTGTTAATTGTCAATATAGGTTTCTAAACAGAATATGCAGCTATCGTCAGTAGCTCCTAGGCAGTAGGATCAAAAAAGATGCGAAAAAATAGAAGGTGGATATAGATGGTGGGTGTGGTAAACTGAAGGAAGCTTTGCCAGTAGACCGTAAACATCTTTCCCACCTCACGGAGGTCCATGAGGTCCATGTCCGCTCCACTCCGACCGCTCCATCGCAGGTCCTCCTAGCCGTGGCCTACTTGCATGCGCATGAGGCTGTGTCGACCGGGGAATGGAATCAGGACTCCATCATACTCCATCAATCCTTCGTCCGATGGAGCAATGTTGGTAAAATGCTCACAAGATTGGACAAGGTTAGGAGTGTGCAAACACGCCTTGTCTTTAGGATCATTGAACCTAATTTGTTATTCATTGTTTGTCCGAAGACTCGTGATGACTCATCATTCTCGTTTGGTTGCGTTAGAGGACTGATGTGACCGAGCCTCGGAAAAAGCTGACCTGTTTAGACCTACTTAGACGCAGGGGAATCAACAACGCCTCAAACGCGAAGGCTTTGACATACAGCCAGCTGGCTGTCTAGCTGGCATGCACTTGCCAGAAGCCGTTCTGATGCGAATGGCAAGGTTGTGCACCGGGATTTGAAACTGGAGAACTTCCTCTATGAGAGCGAGGCCCGGGCCTCAGAACAGATTCTGGTAGCTTCCACTCCAAGAGTTTTGCACATAAATCACAACCTTGGTATTTTTGGACATATATATATATCATATATCCAACATTTAAGGTACCTTTTCACTTTTTTCCTTACGGGATGGCTTCAGCCGAAAATCTGACCATGGCCATCATTGGCCATCCAATGCCCATCAAATCACAAGCTAAAGGGAAAGCTTCCCGAGTTTGGATGCCGGTGAGACCATCCTCCGTTTTTTCACAGCTCTTTCTTACTCCACTTCTTGTGATCGATATTTCATGTGTTTCATTATGTTTCGCCCGGTTCACCTGGCGCGAAGGGTCGCTGGGCTCCGTTGGGAGAAGGGTTGACCAAGTGGTCAACCCAAACGACCTGGCTCTCGGTCGTCTCAGTCGAGGACTCGGAGCATCTGAAGATCATCGACTTTGGCTTTGCAAAGCCCGGGGGGCACAGTTCGCTATTAGGTTGGAGGCCCTCGCTCTTTTGAGACTGCAGTTCGCTATGTTTGCTTCGGCCTGTTCGGCGAAGGAGCTGAACCTTGGAGGGGTGGCGTTTCTGCCTTTTTTTCGACCGGCAAAGACTCAAGTTCGGGTTTCTGACACGACAAGTGGGAGGTGGAAGTGAAAGGGAAAATAGCAGGTTGACTATCTTGTGTACCAGTCGGCCTTTACAACAAGTTTTGCAGTTTAGCATCCACTGTTGCATGAATATGCGTTGCACCACCGGTGGATGTTTTATATTATTGTGCGTTGAGCCCTTTGATCCTGTATTTTTGATCCCTACAGGGGCCTGTGCCTGTGATGAGGGGTGATGGGTCTGAGCACCAAGCGATGCCAAGATCGTTCCTGAAAAAAAGGACTGGCATCACCAGTTGCGGATTGTCATGATGCGCGGAGGTTCTGGAATCGGGATACGAAGATGTCCCAGGCGTGCTGAATGCGGTGAAGGGTGTCAAAAAGCTGAAACAATTGGTGAGCTGCTGAAAACTGGGATTCCTCATGTTCTGTCTCCAAACATGATGAACCGTGATTGTGATGGCTCAAGCTGTGAATAGGACTGAGGGACTTGACGATTAACCGTGAACCTAATTGAGGTTCAACCATGACTACTACAATGGATGCACGCAGCACCTTGAAGTTCACCAAGATGTGCAAGTGCCTTGGACAATCGAATCCAGCGCATTTCAGGAAAAGGAGACATGTGGGACTTTCAACATTGAAAGAAATCTTTAAAGCAGAAAAACACTTGGTCCTTCTCTCTATTTAGGATGTGCTTTGGGACTGAACTTCTTGACGGCGACCTGAGGGTTCGAAGAACGTGGATTTTGCACTACGGTGCGGGTAGTTGGAGCTTTAAACTGAACTCAGAGACATTATAATCTGGAATTGTGGTAAGGGTTTTACTCTCAAGAGCTGGGGCTGTCTTTTAACAAAAGCAGTGGATTAGTCAGTACTTGCACTTCATTTGTCTGATGCTTTCTCCATTTGCCGCGACATCCGCAGCCATGGTATACAGCTTCAGGGTTGCCCCGAAATACAGCCATTCCTTGGAGTAGACAGGACAATCCCCCAAAACGAAGCCGCACAAAACAGATCCCGTTTGCCGCAGCCGTTATAAAAACTGGCTACTTGGGATCCAAGTCACGACAAGAAATTGGACATGTAATATTGCTAGTACCAAGCAGCGTTCTTTTCTTTCTCTTGAACCTACTAGATACTAAGGAAGCAGCCTACCGACTGACAGTTGAGATCCTTTTACATTCACTGGTTGAATCCTCGATTGGGTGAACACTGAACATTCCAGTGTGTCATGGGAGTTCCAGGTTCTTGAGCCGTAGAAACCGTAGACCCCAATTCCCCTTGCAGCGTCGCGCTCTGCGTGAGCTCAGCTGGGCGGATCCGGCCACCCAATCGCAGGCATTGGAGATCCAATCGCTGCACCATGGGACAGAGCTGCAACTTTGCTCACTCGGCCGCCGAACTCCGTGCTCAACCGGATTTGGCCCCTTGGACACACGAGCGACAGACATGGCGTGACGGCGCGTCGCCGAGAGAGAGAGGCAGTTTGAGGTCAAAACTTAGCTGGTTGTTTCGGTGTTTGTCCGATGAATGTCGGGGAAGACCAAGGGTACCCTTCGGTTCCTTCTTGCTTTCCAGTGCTTATTGTGTTGGTCATTTCTTGAGCTCGATGGCTTTCTTTCTTAATTGTAGACGTTGAATGAACGGATGAGTTTCCGAGCAATGTGACCGGTGGGGACTCTTTAGCAATCCATAGCAGTACACCCCAACATGACCCAACATGTCTGAACTTGTGCAAGCTGGCAAACAAAAACGAGCGCCAGCCATGTCTACAAGGACCCCGAACTGCTACCCCAGGAAATGTCAACCCTCAGTCAAAGAGGCATCTACTATTTTTCATCCTGTGGACAACATGGCCACTTTGTCAAAGAAACAAAGAAACCACTTTGCAGAGGAAACATATAGTGTGAGTGTATTGCGGATGTTGAGCACAGAGAGTATTATTTACGATACTATTGTTCCTTTCGTCAAATTGTGGCTCTGAGGTTGCTACGAAGCTTTGCTTTCAGTTCATGTCCAAGGGCCGTTGCAAAAAGGGAGATGAATGCACTTTTGCTCATGGAAGGAAGGAGCTACGCCAAGCGCCACCCGAAGAGGTGCCAGTGGTGGAACGGCCAACCCTCAAGCCGATGAAGGTCAATCTTCCGATGCCAGCAGGAACAGGACTCAAAGCGGTGGTGTCACAACTGGAAGAATTGACCTTTGATGCCCTAAACCCTTTCAGCCCAATGCCTGATGCGCTCAGTGCCTTTGATGTCCTCAGTGCCTTCCACCCTCCTCCCGGACTGATGCCCCCTCCAGGTCTGGGTGGCTATGACTCTTATGTGGGTGGTGGAACCGGGTCCATCCCGTCTGAGCACATTTTTGCGGAAAAATTGGTCAGCCCAGCATCAACCTCATTCCCATGCAGTCCTCGCATCGACGACATGTACGGAAGCGAGCCTCTGAGCGACATCTATGGAAGTGAGCCTCTGAGTCCCGCGAGTGAGGTCTTTCGTCTCTGAGAAGCCCTGAGATGCTGATCTTGTGGAGCAAGATCTTTTTAAGGGATAACTCCAGTCGCATTATACAGTTCGCTATTTTCCTGCGCAGTTACCAACGCTAACCGCTACTCCTTGAATGGGGCCCACATAATCTACTGTAAGTCTGATAGATCCTCAGCTGCATTCAGCTCGATCTTTGTGAATCGTGCAGGGCCTTGTTGACCTCATCAAGGATCCGAGTCCTTGTAAAGTACAGGGCAAGGAGTGCACTTGGCCGACCGAAGGTCGGCCATGGGAAGTCAGAAGAAGCTTATTAATCTTAGTTGTAAATTTGGCCATTCCTTCATGAGGCTTTTTCTTTAGAAAGGCAAAAAACACTCTAAACACTTAAACTACACAGGCCAATTCTGCTTGTGTCACGGTGTTTTGCCTCCATGAAGGTCCTTTAAGGTTCAGATTCTCACCTTTGGAGCGCCGACATGGAGTGTCGTTCGGTCCATTCGGCCATTTGGGTGTTCAAGTTTTCACGTCGTCATTTTTACGGAAAAAGGCGACCTGCCGAAAACAGGTGTTGTTTCACCGTGTGGGTCCTGGTCGTACCTGGTTGATGGTGAAACTTCTGCATGCTGCATGACACCCGGCTCCGAAAAGAGCAGCAAATGGACTCCTCCTAAGCATAGTGTTTTGAGGTCGTAAGATGTCATAAAGCCTGTCTGAACCCAAAAGTGCACTGCATGGCATTGCAGGGCCGATGATGGAACTACGATGACTCGGTGAGAGCTTGAACTCTCACAAACAGAAGGAATGCCTTTCCGGATTCCCCCGACGCAAACTGAGCTTCGCTGTGTTTGACCAGGCTCATTTGATCATCATCTCCGCCAAACTCATTAACTGCTTCACGGGGTTTCTCGGATCAACATCAATGAGAGGCCTGCGGGTCCCTGCACTATGTAGCGCCTGAGGCGCGGAGATGGGAAGCACGGCGATCCCGAAGCCAAGAGTGCATAGTGCCTCTGGATTATGTTTGCCTAGAAAACAACTTCTACCATTTTCATCCATTCTCTACCTGCATTTCTTTTGGATTGTGGTGGCTGATTTGGGATGGATGTGACGTATGCAACCATTGTTTTGGCTGGGGAACAACAAAGTTTGGTGTTCATGTTCACCTTCTTATTGCTGTGGCTGTGCCAACTGAAAGAAGTCATTGATTCATTGGTGCCCCTCATTCGCAGCAAGGCGCGTACAACCGCTCGATTTGAGAGTCTTGAATCCTTGCCACCAGCCATGCACAGGAACAATATAAGACATGTCATTTCTGTTGCGAGAGCTCATTTTGCCCAACAACCCGAGGCAGTTTCCAATTGAAATCAGTTGGTTGAGCGGCTTGAGCCTTGTGGCTGCTTTGTTTTTGTTCTTTTTTTCGTTTCGGTTTATCTCTATTTTTACCACTCGGTTACTGCATTATTCTTTGCAGGTGCTGGAACATTCCTACACTGACAAGGCAGACCTTTGGTGCGAGCCTTGGGCGAGCCTCGCCACCCGAACTGAGTGATGTTTGAAGATCTCATAGGTTCAGCCGAATGAATTGAGCTACTCGACTACAACTGGAGTTATTGGGTGAATCTATATTTGATATTTGAAGGGTCAGAAGTTCAGAAGCTGCGTCATTCAGATAGCTTGGTCATGTTCTTGTGCAGGTCGTCCAAGGCCAGTGGATGTCTCAACCGCTGTTCATCCCGCACACCTCGCTGAACCATAGATGAACAGAGATGAACCTGCACCCTCAGCAAGCTTCGTTCATTTGTGCTCGTTTCGCCTGTTACAGGGAAGTGGTTCCTTATGGCAGGGTCCTGATTCCCATCGCACAGGTTGCAGTACTGAGGCAGGTTCTGCTTTAGAAGTGGTGGCCGTATCTGCATGCCGAATCTTCAATCCTGACGGTTCCAAACCTGAGATTTTTTGCCTCCTTCGTTGCATTCACGGCTTCCGTTCCACTCGGACGCCGGTTCCAAGGTCTTGTGGTGCCCGGCGACTCAGCGGGCTCAGCGGGCTCCGTATGGCGAACACCACGGTGTTTGGTAGGTCTTTTCGTTCGCCAACAAGAGTGTACCGTGTGTCAGTGAGCAATGAGTGGTGTTGTGTTGAACATCCATTGGTTCGATCTCCAGATATGGTTGGATGGTCAGATCTCTGTGTGGCAAAGGTGTGTATACAATTAGTGCTGTGTATACAATTTACAAGGATGTACTGTACGGTATGTTTTTTTTTTTCCCATTTCTCAATGCAGCTTGAGCCCCCATTTCTCATGGGTGGTCTTTGCTCTTTCCTTGCAAAGTCAGACCCCAGTGCCAGGCCAAGCCCTCCAATGACCAAGGAGGTTGATGATCCGAGACGAGAACACCAGGATAATGGGCAGTTCGGGGCCCTTCGCGGCGGATGCCTCTTTCGAAGGAGGTTTCCACTCCGCCGTCCCCGTCAGGTCATCGCCTACATGCTCTTGACGGGCGCCCCGCCCTTCTTTGGCAGCGACGAGGAAGAGCGGAGCCCCGGGCGCAGACAGCAGGAAGCCGTCATGCGGGTGGGGACCAGGACGATGGAGGAAGACGTGTACACGACCTACTGATGTCCAGGTCATGAGTGGCACATTTCAATATATACTGTATATATATAATGAAAAGGGTGTGGAATGCGGGTGGTTTTATCAAGTCCTTGATGAGTGAAGTGGTGTTGTTTGACTGAGTTTGTGGGGTGGTTCTTTAAGAGGTGAGGAAAACTTGCGAGGTAGCGGCAGGAACATCCGCAGGAAGATTTGAGACACCTAACTGCAAGGGAGGTTGGAGTGGCTCTCCATTGCAGGAGGTGCATTCTTGCATATGTTTGCTCTTAATGTTTGTTTCTAGCGGTCTTTCTTGCAGTCAACCTTGACAGTAACTTGCACTTGCAGTGGTATAAATGATTTCAGTTTTTGTGCCCAACTTCATTTCGGGGAAGGTATACTGCATCGAGGAAGCATCCATTTTATCCCGCCATGGAGGAGCCATCAAATTGCAGCGTCATTTCCTTTACTGCTTCCAATATCTTCCAACTGCACGTCTGGCTTGGAGACACGAAACACCCTCATCCAAAAGAGAAACATTGAATTTGATGATGCCATTTCTTTTTCACCTAGCCAGTAGCAAGAAAATATCAGGGTGGAGGCCATGGCTCTTAGGTTGGAGGCCATCGCTACTAGTAGCAAGGACACTACTAATTCAACCGCCGTCTTTCCCTTGAGCCTTTGCCCAAGCGAGTTCTTCCGTAGCGCGTGCTCGCGGAGAAGCGTCAAGACGATGGAGCAACTGGCCTGCTTTCATTGCCGGAAGTTTGAGTATGGCTTTGCCCTGACTCAGGTAGCCCTGCAATGATGTAAACCAATTTCACAGGGCCACCCTGGATAGAATGTCTAGGTACTCGTAGTATACTCAGCCTTGACATGCCTTGACCAGAAACTTCAATATTGAACAATCCAATCAAAAGGAGGACCATTCCCCAGCATGGCTCTTGAATTGTACTATGCTGTATTCTTTCTAATTGAGGATTCTTAACCAAACATCCTTAGAGGTGGTCTTCCATTGCCCTTCCATATTTATCCATTTCCACTAATTTCATGAATTGGGTTCTCCAACACATGGAACGAGCAACAAGGACCCTTGTTGGCATACTTTCCACTGACTTGCAACATATTTAGAATTTGGAAGAGTGGGACACATTTAAAGCGAGCCTGGATTATTGAAGCCACTTTTGCACTAGGATGCCAAGGTAGGACAAAGACATCAAGACAACATGCAGGATATGCAAGTGTAGTATTTGAACAGTGATGCAAGTGATGCAGTCGTAGTGTTGCTGCATCATGAAGAAGAAAGAGAAAGGATAGTACTGTAAAAGTGCTAGATAAATAGGAGGAGACCATGTGAGTGGCATCATGGTGGGGATGGGGTCACTTGCAAAACGTTTGTATCACGAAAGGTTGCGAGGCAACCCGAGTTCAATTAGCTCTAGCTTGTGGGGCGAAATCTATCCAAACCAACATCGCACAGATACATATTTTTATACCTCCATATTAAGCAGTCTTGAGCGGGTTTGTGTGTCTTTTTTAAAGAAAAAAATTGTGCAGGAGTTCCTGAGTTCCTTTCCGCCCTTGCATCCACTCAAAAAAAAGTCACCCAAGCCCTTATTGAGTATTCGTTTGATACACATCACAATGCGCCATACCACAAGTTCCCAATGCAATGTGATATGACTCTGACCAATGCATCCATAACAATACCGGAGTATACAGAGGTTGATTTTACAGCAGGATGTGATCTATATAAAAGGACAGGTGATTAGTCTCCTTTGAAGGAAGAATCACGCGTTGCTTTAGCGGATTCGCTTCCGGATTAGTTGATTTATGTGAGGCCATTGTCACAATTTGCTAACCTGGTTTACACCGATTGCAATTTTCAATGGTCTCGTCTTGACGTGGCCAATTCCATGCCGGGTCTCTCTCTCTCTCTCTCTGTCTGTCTGTCTCTCTCTCTCTCTCTGTGTAAGACTGTGTCACAAGGGGATTTGGCAATTCAGTAGTGATCCTGAAACTATCATGCTACATCCATGTCTTTTGTTCACCCCCTTCACACCCCATACCAGAGTGTATCAAGGGGGTGCATGGGGAGCGCTTGGATCTGTTGCGCGAGTCCGGCTGCTCTCCTCACTTTACGCCACCCCCGGGACGAGCCGTGCACCTTTTCTAGATCATAAAGTAAGGTCTAGCCTGCAATAGAGGATACATCTTTAAGTTCATCCAACTGTAAATTAGTTTGAGCTTGTGATTATGGTACCTGTTTTTTGTGTTTCCTGAGATCTGAGAGCACTGAATCTGACATTGGATTATTTTACCTCCTTTAAGGTTTTTCTTGAGCAGTGAACATTCTATACCCGCAGACTGAAAGATAGAATGCTGGCCGGGGGCGTCTGGTGGAAGATTTTCGGCCCTGGGGACCGGCAGTTTTAAACATTCACACACGGCAAAATTAAGTTGGACCGGCAGAATCACACAAAAAGCCCACTGATATCACAAAACTGTACAGATAGAATGCGGTGCTTACATATGCTGAACATGTTTAGCAGTTCAACAGTGGAACCTTTATGTTGACATTGTTTTGACACTGAAGAAGTGGCAGTAAAGGAAGATCAGATTTTGGTTAGCAAAACACGCTGTATTCCCCGCGTCACCCGTCGGCCGCTGATTGAAAGGTGAATGCATGTTTGGCTTCTCTGGGATAGGTGTGTGCAAGGCTGGCATGTGTATCATTTGGATCATGTGGGCTTACCATTTGTCTCATTGAGCATATCACATGTCCATGAGTCCATGACATGCCCGATGCGCGCGTGGTTCCGCGCACTCTATGTGTTGTTTCCTGCGCGCCGGTGGGGAAATTATGAGCAACTACGGGGAGGCATTCTAACATGATAAAAATTTGGCACTCTAACTGAGGGTGGAAAGCTTTTGGAATTCGTCGCCCCATTCTATCTTTCAGTCCGCGGGTATAAGTCTCTAGAAATTTGGGCTTTCCTAAGAATCTCGGAGCAATCAAATTTAAGTCATTTTTGGCTTTTGTCTACAGTAAACCCAATGATAATCATTGGGCTGCCGACCGTTGCTGCCTTCATCGCAAAGCGAGCGCCTATTCCTGACAAGGTTGATGATGAGGAAGCGGCACCTCCTTTTACGGAGCAAGATGAACTTATGGTCTCCAATGACACCATTGATGATGAAGCCTACATCAATGAAGCGGCAGTTGCCCAAGGTGCAGAAAATTAAATCTGGATCAGCCCGATGACCGGCTGAAGAGGTGGTCTTCAGTGAGGCCATCCCAACTGATCCTAACTGCACTACCAGATGAGATGAGATCCGAAGGCTTCAAGATTGCAAAAGATGGACCGGTGCGTGGTCAGCAACGCTTTCTTTCTCCCAGTTTCATGTTTCAGTGCTTCATTTTCTTCCTCAAACCGGTCAAACACGGAAACATGGTTCGATGTCTGTCTGGCGGTTTTTGGCGCCCCGGGATGCGAGGACGCGCCTTTATGCTGGCCACTTGTTGCGCGTGTGTGTCTCTGTTGCGAAGTATTTTTCAATTCAGCGCAAAACATGTTTACGCACAACAAGGCCACACACCTAGCAGGACGTTTTTAAACTGCAATAGTTTTTGCATGTGTAGTGGCCGCTACGAAGCAGTGTTTCTATGCAGAGCCAAATATGTTGCATGCGCAGCAAGGTTGCAGGCAGTTGCACATGCCTGGCAGGATGTTTGCGATGGCAACAGCTTTTGCGCCTGTGGTGTGCATTGTGTCCGCGTGGGGAAACATTTTTCTCCGCAGCACAACGCATGTTTTATGCGCAGCAAGGCCACAGGCAGTTGCGCGTACCCAGCAGGACATTTCTGCGCTGTTGCACTTGTGGTGCGCTTTCTGTCTCCGTTACTTTCTGCGCAGTAATACTTAGCTAGTTGGTGCTCACTTGAAGGACCTCAGGAGCCAGGGGCAGCCATATTCGCCAGTAAGCAGGGAACCAAGGAGCTACAGGGAGTCTCCCAGCCCCTTGCTGGTTACAAGTCTGATGCGCTTTCCTTCTTCTTGCCCCCAGCTACTAGAGTCCAGTTCCTGCTCCAGCTTTTGCTCTCAAGTCCTGCTACCCAACTCCTCTCCAGCTCCCTTTGCACTTACTATTGGGTTCAGGCTCGGCTTGGGAGCTTTAGGAACACATAGTTGGAATGTTTGAAACATCCAGGTCAATTGAGTTGCTAGCTGCTGTTGGGTTGCAAAGCTGGGTCTGGGTTAGTTTTCATTGTGCCAAGTTCAGTTGGGCCCCTATTTTCGGACAAACTTGCACTTCAAACGACTCAGGACTCAGGGTCACAGTCCCCGCGACACGCAAAAAACAAGTACTTTTTAAGCCTTTGGCCAGGCGCCAAGCAGAAACATCCGACGTGCCCGGGCGGCCCAGGGAGGGGCTTTGGAAAGTCTGTGGCGATTGGGGGATGTGGGCGGCAAAGGTCGGCCCCAGCAAAAAGGCTACATGCAAGCGGATGTCATCGAACAAGTTCTCAGGCTTGAGAACGTCCACCCCTCGAGGTGGCTAGTTGTAGACACAGTACCCCTAGACATGTGAGGACTGGTGGGATGTCCGTGAGGCCCACCCATGTCATCGCTAATCGTCATGTTGGACCAGGCCGCCCTGCTGATGCTTGCGATCCTTGTGGCGAGGTCAGTGGGAGCTGGTACAGTGATCATCGTTGGGACTTGAGATGGGTTTGAACAGACAGACCTGTAGTTCAGCATGTTCTTAAAGGTGGTGTAACACACACATATGTTGTAGGTCATTCCATTTGTTTGTGTGATCTTCACCTTACATATATTGAGAACTTAAAAGAGCACAACGACATACCTGATCCCAAGTGTGTGGTTGGTCGACCATTGCATTTTTTCCTGTCTTTCTTTGGATGTACCACACCTTTC